GGCTGCTGGAGTTGGTCCTGCTGGAGGTACTACTGGAGCTGCTGGCGGTACTGGAGCTGCCGGTCCTGCTGGAGTTGGTGCTGCTAGAGCAACTGGAGCTGCTGGAGCTGGAGCTGCTGGGGGTGTTGGCGCTGGTGGTTTTGCTGGCGCTGGTGCGTCTGAGGGTGCTGGAGTTGGCGCTGTTGGAGCTGGAGGTGCTGCTGGCGCTCGTGCTGCAGCTGGGGGTACTGGTGCTGTCCCTTCTGGTTCTGGAGGCGCTGCGCGGCCGAGGCCGTAATTCGTTCCGCTCCTTGAGCAGGTTCTTGGTCTCCCGCCCTCTACTGGTCCTGCTCCTCCCTTAGAGTGTCCACAGCCTGTCCAGTTGCAGTCACAGTTACAGCCCGCCTCCCCCCTACCTGCTCCGTCTCCCTACACTAGTCCTACTGGAGGTCGTGCTGAGCGTCGTGAGCCTGCGTCTCGTCCTGCGTCGCCTGTTCGTGCTGCTCGCGCTAGTGGTCGTGCTCCGCGTCCCCGTCCTCCTGCGGTCCCTGGCACACACCAGATGGCACTGCGTCCTTCCACTGCTCCTCTGCGTGTCCCGTTGCCGTCGCCTCCAGAGTCCTCTCTTCCTGTTCTTGCTGACCCGGAGTCTGACTCTCTTCGTGCTGCCAGTCCTACTGTCACGCGTCTCCTGGCTACTGTTGTCACTGACCCTTCCTTTGAGTCCACTGCTGCGTCGGCCCTAGTTGCTGAGCTTGTCGACTTTGCTGCTCGCTATCGTCTGGACTACGCTACTAGTCTTGTTGCTGAGTCTGAGTCTGTCTATCCTCCGTCCGTCGGGGGTGAGTGTGCTCTTAGCACGGACGTCCTTGAGGACAGGCAGGAGGAGTTCCAGTGTTTTGCTGCTGCTGCTGTTTTGCCCCTGAGGGAGACCCGGATGCACCAGACATCCCGACTCCTCGATCGTACGCTGAGGCGATCGAGGGTCCCTACTCCTCACAGTGGCAGTCAGCCATGGACGCAGAGATGGCTTCCTGGAAGTCCACAGGCACCTACGTCGACGAGGTTCCCCCACGTGGGGCGAACATCGTCAGTGGCATGTGGATTTTCAGGGTGACGCGGCCGCCGGGTTCTCCGCCTGTCTTCAAGGCGCGTTACGTGGCTCGAGGCTTCAGTCAGCGGCAGGGAGTTGACTACTTTCAGACCTTCTCTCCCACCCCGAAGATGACCACTCTTCGGGTGCTGCTGCACATAGCCGCTCAGCGCGACTACGAGCTTCACTCTCTTGACTTCAGCACAGCTTTCCTGCAGGGCAGCCTGCACGAGGAGATCTGGCTGCGCCGCCCACCTGGCTTCACTGGGTCGTTTCCTCCTGGTACCCAGTGGAGCCTCCGGCTGCCAGTCTACGGTCTCCGCCAGGCGCCCCGTGAGTGGCACGACACACTGAGGACTACACTTGCGGCTCTTGGGTTTGCTCCGTCTACTGCCGACCCGTCGCTGTTTCTGCGCACCGACACCTCCTTGCCGCCGTTCTACATCCTCGTGTACGTCGACGACTTGGTCTTTGCCACAGCTGACACTGCTGGACTCGCCCACGTGAAGTCCGAGCTGCAGAAGAGACACACGTGCATAGACCTGGGTGAACTGCGCAGCTACCTTGGCTTGCAGATCACCCGGGACAGAGCACAGCGCACCATTACCCTGATTCAGTCACACATGGTGCAGCAGGTCCTTCAGCGCTTCGACTTCACGTACTCCTCGCCTCAGGCCACTCCTCTGTCTACTCGCCACTCGCTCTCAGCTCTGCCTTCGGATGAGTCCGTAGAGCCGAGTGGCCCGTACCCAGAGCTTGTTGGCTGCCTCATGTACCTGATGACCTGCACACGACCTGACCTAGCATACCCTCTTAGCATCTTGGCACGCTATGTTGCTCCTGGGAGACACCGACCAGAGCACATGGCTGCAGCGAAGAGGGTGTTGCGCTACTTGTGCAGTACGTCGGGCATGGGGCTAGTGCTTGGAGGGCGACGTCCAGTGGTCCTCACAGGTCACGCAGACGCTTCTTGGGCTGACGACCAGGCTACGCAGCGGTCGTCACAGGGTTACACCTTCAGCCTTGGCTCCGGCTCTGTTTCGTGGCGGTCTACCCGCTCGTCTTCTGTTCTCGGCTCCAGCTGTGAGGCTGAGATCTACGCCGGGGCCATGGCTGCACAGGAGCTACGCTGGCTCACCTACCTGCTGACTGACCTAGGAGAGCCGCCTCGTTCTCCTCCAGTTCTGTACGTAGACAACAAGGCCATGCTGGCCTTGTGTCGGGAGCACAGACTGGAGCACAGAACGAAGCACATTGCTCTTCGCTACTTCCTTGCTCGTGAGCTGCAGCAGCGTGGTCAGCTGCGCCTTGCTTACGTGGCCTCTCAGGCCAACACTGCTGATATCTTTACCAAGGCACTTCCGCCTGGTGATCATCAGCGCTTCTGTACGATGCTAGGTCTTGTGCCTACTTGGCCTCACTTGCTCACTTCTTGACCTTGCTTGTACTGTGATCTTTCTATACCTGCACTTGCCTGTTTACCTTTATATATGATCTTGCATGTGAACTGGCCTTTTGGCCTTGCTCTTGTGCTCGGATTGTGTGGTGACGTTGTGATCCACCCTGAGCTTGCTTTGCTTTGCTTGACTGGTCTTGTGACCTCTTGTTCTCCCCCACTTTGCCTATGGGGGTGTGTCAAACTTATATCATATAGCTTGTCTAGGCTATAGTGGGGTAGACACTATGGGATACATTTTCCTAGGGTTTCCTACTTGTACCCAACCTTGTGCTAGTTCATTCATTCCTCATTCTTCACAGAGACTTGAGCTGTCTTACTGCCCCACATCCGAGATGGCAGCTGATTACTTGACCAAGAAGCTCGGAAAGTCGAAGTTCGAACATTGTATGCTGCTGACTGGACAGAGCCACGTCACCAGCAGCGACACTCCAGAAGCGAAGGGGAGTGTTGGAAACAATTAATTTAAAGCGCCTCTGTCGTGTCGAAACACCAAGACAAAAGCGAAGCAGATCACATCGAAGCATCAAGCGAGTCAACCCTCGGAGGTTGAACAACCGCTGGAGGTTACGCGAAAGTCAAAGGTCAGCGACCTTTGACCTGACAAGTACAGTGCGACAGCAAGGACAAACAACTGTCTCGATACTGAGCAGTTGCCCGAGTCGACACTGTATCGAACAGCAACAGCAACAGTAAAACAGTTATTAACCGTATCTTTTTATATTCCCTGTATCCCTGTATCCTTATAAAAGTTTGTATCTCTTTACTTTAATCAATCAACTTTGCCCTCACATACCAGCGCAAGGTGGTTCACAATCCTTTTATTAAACGCTTCCGCTACTACATCATCCTACTCTTGAATTCTGTCCTGCAAAGATCCGAAGGGCCTTTTTCAGCCGAACAGTTTTAAGCTTGTTCAGTCTGAGGTGTTGTTACGGGTGCAATGAACCGAAGTAGCGAGAATTGCACCAAGGTGTCAAACGAGTACAAGATGTGAGCTAAGGCATGAGCGAACATTTATACGCAAAACATGCAAACGGTAACGCGGTGCATGCGAGTTAGCTAGTGCTACGCTGGAAGCGAGGCTCGGGCTAGTCCCGAAGCGTAGGCCGACACGGCCAGGCCAGCAGTGCGAAGTTTGGTGAAACAGTGCGCGCGAAGTCGGTGAAGCCCCGTTAGCAGTAACGGGCGAACAACGGCTGCTGCTGTACGCGATGTTGCAGGGCGCGCTAAGGGATATCGAGAAAATTCCTTACAGGTGTGCTATTGTAATTATATCAGCCAATGAGTTGTCTATTCCCCAGGTGGAGGTAACATCCGGCAGTAAACGCCGTCTATCGCTCGCACGTCGCTGCACGAAAGCCGCCAAAGTCGTAGAATCCATTTTGCGTGTGTCCACTTGGCACTTGTTCCGCCGAACATCGTCCCATTGGCTAGGTGGCACCAAACATGCTCCAACGAGTCGCTCAATACCACACCTAAGTACTTCGTGGCGATGTCGCACGGCTTTGGCCTGACAAACCACGGGGATGAAGAGGCTCGGATAGAGAGGCTCGACCTGTTTGCCTTTGGTTCCGAACCGACCCCTGAACTTGCCTGCCATTGGTGTACGAGTGGCTGAAGCTTGGTTGGGCGCAGCTTCGGAGGTTCATTGTGAGAGCCAACAGAACCTTGTTTGGGGGAGTGCCTACGGGTCCCGGACCTAATAGAAGTTCGGAAATCGATGTTCCCCAAGAGGTTCCGTGTCGCATTTCCCCCAACAGGTGCATTCTGGAGGACTTCTAGCTACGGGTTGCCTGACAACCTCGAGGCTTGGTGGGCATGAGCTGACCTGACATTCGCGTTGCACACATGCGCCTCGAGTCTCTCCTCCTCTCCCGCCCGCTCGCACCTGGATCAATTCAACAGCCAGGGCTGGCTGGCTGATATAATCACCAGCAGCCTTTTTCCCAGGTCGCATGGTGACTTGGCTTTCTTCCTACGTGACGCATCTCACACTAAACCTCCACCAGTACTGCTGGGCCATCTTGTAATTAATCGAAGGATGTCGACACGCTCAATGCGGATTCGTACACACTTTGCTCCTTAGTGCTCGTTGAGGAAAGGTTGACCACTCGAGCGACGGATCGAGCCAATACAAAATTCCCTCTAGTCATGGAGCGGCGTGCGTATTCGCCGCTACCAGCGCAAACCCGCAACTCTTTCGATGAGCCTATCGCGAGCCCGCTTCGCACGGGTTCCACCAACCGCAGCGGGAAAAGAAATTGGAGCCCTCTTTCGGGGAACTTTCGCCTTTTCAGTCTGGAGGAATCAAGTCAATGCGGCTCGAAACGCGTAAAAGGCGACGATTCGTCGACGGCGCCGGTTGCGGGGATCCACTCATTTATCGCAATCGGAGTTGTCCTCGCCATAGTGTTTGTCGCTTCGTTAGCAGCCATGGGGAGAGTCGTGCAGCTTTCGCTCCCACAGAACATGCAGGGTTCGCGGAACCTTCTCTCGTCGTCGAGTGATGTCACAGTAGCCATCACTAGCCACGACTGGAAAGATAGTGCGAAGGGTATCGGCGCCGGCAAAAGCGCCGTGGATGGCGGAAACGAATTCGACGGGGTGGATAGCTGGCGAGGCGCGTTCGCCGGGGAGGTGGTGACTGTGGAAGAGGTCCGAGAAGACAAGGGGGAAGCGAAACGGCGGAAAGGCAACCGGGGAAAATCGAAGAAATCGAAGGCGGGGGAAAAGCGAGGAGAGGATGCGGCGGTAATGGGGCGCACGGGTGATCAGGGTAGCAAAAAGGGGAAAGGACTGGTTGTTGAGATTGCGGAGAAGGAGAAAGGGAAGAAGCGGGAAGAGATGGTGATCAAGGTTGGCGGGTTGACCAAGGAAGCGAAGAATGACACCCGCGAGAAGAGAGGCGAGACAGGCGAGGAGGGGGAATTGAAGGGATCAGACAGCAGAACGGAGGAGCAGCGTGATGAGCGGCGGGAGGAGGGGATAGAAAAGGATCACGTAGGGAAGGAGAAGAGTGCACGGGATAGCAGCAGCACGCTGCATACCGACAGCACGCGGCAGGAGAGCGGCACGCGGGAGGAGAACACGACGGGGGAGGGAGGGCGTGAGATTGGTAGCGATACGCGGCAGAAGGAGGAGGTCGGGGGGAAGGCGGAGGCAGCTGCTGGCGCGCATGAGGGGAAACATAGCAGCCGAGGGGCACAGGCAGCCGAATCGGATGTCGCACGGGAAGCGGATGTCGCACGGGAAGCGGATGTCGCACGGGAAGCGGATGTCGTACGGGAAAGAGCAGCAGCGGGAGAGTCAAAGGCATCAGGGGAGGCGGGGGCGGCATCAGGGGAGGCGGAGTCGGCATCAGGGGAGGCGGAGTCGGCATCAGGGGAGGCGGGGCCGGCATCAGGGGAGGCGGAGTCGGCATCAGGGGAGGCGGGGGCGGCATCAGGGGAGGCGGAGTCGGCATCTGGGGAGGCGGAGTCGGCATCAGGGGAGGTGGGGGCGACATCAGGTGGTGGAGTTAGCAACGCTGCAGTGATCGCTATGGCCGAGGTGCGACCCTCACTGGCAGACACTCCCTCGCTGTCATGCCTGTACGCATGTGTCATGTGTACCCACGCTCGGTGAAGTGCATACGCATACTCACGCTCCGTGTCTCTCTATCCACGCTTCCCCGCCCTTCCTGATTCCGCATCCCTCTTTACTTCCGCCCCCCCCTCTCCCCCCTTCTTCTTCCCCAGGGCAACCTAGGCGCACGCCTGCAGGCGCTTTGCCTTGCGCCCGCCGTCAGCGCGGTGTGGGGCGCGCGCGCACCGGGGGAGGCGGATGCGGGGAAGAAGGAAGGGGATAAGGCGAGGGAGGTAGCCGTTGTGTGGAGTGACTCAGCGGTCGCGGATGCTGACGTGGACGGAAGTGCTGCTGATTCCGCTGGCGGCAGTCCCAAGAAGGGACCCGCAGGGGAGGGGTTCTTGGACTTATTCAGCGGGTTTCCCGGTGTAGATGCATTACGGTTAGACGAGACGGATAAGGCTGCTTGGCCGAGTGTGACTGTAAAGGGATCAGCCTTTGCTGCTCCTCTTTTAGAATCACGGAAAGAGGTGCAAGTCTCGTTGCCGGCCTGTGTAGACGAGGGGTCGGCGGCCAATACGAGCGCGACAAGTGGCAACAGCAGCAGCAGCGCGGAGGTGCCTGGATTGTCGTTGTCGCTGTGGGTCCCTTCTGGACTAAGCCACGTGGCAAGCAGAGAATGGGTAAGCTACTCGGAGTCTCAATTCTACTTAAACACTTTCTAAGTCTCATTTCCCCCGCCATGCGTCTTTCTCGAACTTAGTTTGCCACCATACTGCACTCCTCGCCACAAGTTTTTCCCCCCCTCTCTGGAACTTCTTCGTTTTTCGCGCTACTAAGCGTCAGCGGGAGGAATCGGATTTCCCCCCCCCCCCCACTCTCTGGACCTTCCTCTCCCCCAGTCCCCCCAACCCTTCCTTTCTCCCCTTCTCCGATTTCCTTTCCCCTTCCCGTCCTACCCCTTATCTCCGCATCTCCCCCCAGACCTCCCCCGAGGCATGTTCCGCCCTCCTCCTCTTCCAGTCGTGCCTGGGCGCTCTGCAGCCCTCGCCACGTGTGAGCAGATTACTGGAGGAGGGAGCGCTGGGGGAAACGGGAGCAGCTGCTGGGAGGTCTGAAGGGGAGACTAAGGAAGTGGGGAGAGTGGTAGAGGAGGGATTTAGGGAGAGACTAGCACGTAGCACGGCGGTGTATCTGGAAGCCAATCAGGTGATGCCAGGTGGCACGTGCGGAGGGTGTCCAGAGGACCCTCTACTCAACTGCACGCTTCGCACGCTGACGTGGCGCTACCTGCGCGTGCCGTCCAACTCGTCTGACGTGGACTTCACTGTAGCAGCTGCCTCTGCTACAGACGCTGCTACAGTCGCAGGCACCTTCCATCCCCTGCGCGCCCCGCTCCTCCTCCCCCACACTGCTGTAAGAACGGCCATGGGTTGCCCCTTGAGAATACCTCCCTCTTCCTCCTCCTCCTCCTCCTCCTCCTCCTCCTCCTCCTCCTCCTCCTCCTCCTCCTCCTCCTCCTCCTCCTCCTCCTCCTCCTCCTCCTTCTCCTCCTCCCCCCACTCCCCCCCCTCCTCCTCCTCGTCTGCCTCAACGTCAATGCCCATCACCAGCTCTGCTGCATCTGCTTCTTCTGATTCCTCGCCATCATCGCCAGCATCATCGTCGCGACGACTGTTGGGTCTGAAGGGAGAGGAGGAGCAGGAGAAGAAGTCTGTCTCACCATCTGACAGTTCTGGAAGCGACAATAGTGAGAACAGCAGCAGTGGGACGAGCAGCAGTGGCAGTGGGGCAAGCGGGGCGAAAGGGCACGAGTGGAGTTGTGGTCAACTGGAGGTAGGCATGGTTGCTGGTGCTTGCATGGATGCATGCATGTATGTACGTATGCATGTATGTACGTATGCATTGACGTACGTATGCATGGACGTACGTATGCATGGACGTACGTATGCATGGACGTACGTATGCATGGACGTACGTATGCATGGACGTACGTATGCATGGACGTACGTATGCATGGATGGATGTAGCGGCATGCACGCATGGGTGCATGTATGCATGCATCACAGCCTTCCCATCACCTGCGGTTTCCATCCCACCATCCACCATCTCACCGCCTTCTTTGTCGGCTTTCTCTCTCTACCTTCTCCATCCCCCTTCTCTCACCTTGTGCCCTCTGCACCCCATCCCTCAATCACCTTCCATCACACACCACCAGCTGGCGGAGCTGCTGCTGCTGTCGTGGGCTCGAGGGCTCATCCACTCGCGGCCCTCTATAGAGGCACTTTTCATTGCTGCCCAGGGGAGACGGCACCGGGCGAGCCACAGCAGCAGCGCGGATGCCCCTGCTGCAGTCTCCTCTCTGGCAGCAGAGTTTGTGGTGGAGGAGAGTGTGTGCGCTGCTCCACGTGTTGCTCGGTTTGTCGACCAGAAGTACCTGCAGCAGATGCTCGTGGATGGTGAGCCTCAGCCTTGTGCTTGACGTGACCCAGTTTCTATTGTTTTTGTGCATGACTATGCATAGCTATGCATACTCCTGTCCGCACATGTACTGGTGAGTGCATGGGTTTGTGGACCAGAATTACCTGCAGCAGATGCTCGTCGATGGTGAGCTTGCCTTGCCCCCCACGTGACATAACCGGAAGTAACTGCATTCGCTCTAAATGCATGGAATCACATGTCTGCCCGCACGCGTGCATTCCTGGTGCTGGCCCGTCTTTGCGACAAGGTGCTGAATCTGCCGCTGTTGCTGCCTTAAGTGCCTCCCATCCCTTCTATCCCATGCAACATCCCAACCTCCAATTGAATCTGCTGCTATCTCCTCTCTCCTCCGCCCCACAGAGGAGCTCAAGGCGGTGTACTGCTTCGTGCCCAAGGCGGCCTGCACGAGCTGGAAGGTGTGGTTCCGCCAGCAGCTGTCCAAGCGGGTGGGCGGCATGAAGTCATACGGCGTGCCGGAGCGGATCATCGTACACAACCCGCAGCAGAGCGGGCTGAGCATTATGGGATACGGGTTTGAGGAGCACGAGAATATCCGCTTCCTCACGCGGCCCGACTTCTTCAAGTTCTCGTTTGTGCGCAACCCGTTCACGAGGATTGCGTCGGCGTATCTGAACAAGCATGTGGATGGTGGGTATCCGCACGACCGCAAGTACTGGAACGAGGTGAGGGTTCTCCATGAGTTAGCTCACACTCAATTCGTTGCGTCGGCGTATCTAAACAAGCACGTGGACGGGGGGGGTATCCGCACGACCGCAAGTACTGGAATGAGGTGAGGGCTATTCTCTGATAATATTCCACATGTGTGTTAGAACATAAAGGATGGAGGGAACAAGCTGGAACCGACTGGAACGTGATGTGTGGCTGATGTGCTGTGTGTGGTGCGTTGCTTACTCCCATCCCTTCCCCCATCCTTCCTTTCCCCTTTTATCTATTTACATTCTCTTCCCCACTGTTCCTGTCAACTCCACTCTTCAATCCATTCACCCCCCACATTCCCCTCGCCTGCCTCTCTCTCCCTGCCTGCAGCGCTGCTTTGTACGGTGCATGCGCCTGCGTAAAACCATACTTTTGAGCTGCCTCAAAATTACATTTCCCTCCCCTGCCTCTTTCTCCCCCTGGTTTCAGCGTTTCTTTGCGGGCCTAGAGGCATACAACGCGCCTGTGAAGAGCCAGACCATTGAGAGCGCACCGAAAAACATTCCCCGTTCTTGCCTCTTTCTCTACGTCTCTCTTCCTGCCTCTCTCTCCCTGCCCCTCTCTCCCTGCCCCTCTCTCCCTGCCTCTCTCTCCCTGCCTGCAGCGCTTCTTTGCAGGGCTGCAGGCGTACAACGAGCTGATGAAGAGCCAGTACGGCAGCGACTTCATCCCCTTCTCAACCTTCGTGTCATTCCTCCAGATGCAAGCCACGCGCTATGTAGCACGCATGGACCCCCATGTCCGCCCCCAGGTGCTCCCCCCACCCTTCCTCTGCCTTCCGTCCCATTTCCCTCACTCCTTTCAGACACCCCATCTTCCATTCTCTCGATCCTCCCCTCTTGCATTCCTTCCTTGCGTCATTTGTCCTTTTGAGAGCCATGCCCTCCCAATGTGCTCATTGGCTAACACCCTATGCTTACTTGTTTGTCTGCAAGTTTCAGATCGACCTGTGCAAGCTGAATTCGATCCGATACGACTTTATTGGGCGGTTTGAGAATCTAGAGGAGGATGTGGCAAAAGTGATGCGGCAGTTCGGGAAGGAGGGAAAAGATGCGTTTAATATTGGCCATGGTGCACACCCAACTAATGCATCGGATAAGCTGCTCGAGTTATATGACCAGGTGAGTCTAAAAGGTCTACAAACCATCTCTTTGGAGCTGCATAATCGAGGGAATATGCACAACCAACATTTGTTTTCCCTTATGTGATGTGCAGGGAGCTTTTGAGGCTGCTATGGTCGCATACAAGACAGATTTCAGTGTTCCTTTAATTGGTTTGGAGTATGGACCACCACAAGCTTTAGTGGAAAAGTTTGGGTCTGAAACGAGTTAAATATATAATATATATTATGTTATGGCTGGTGCAAATGCACCCGCTCATATTATTATTGTTGTTGTGGAGTTCCATGATTTTGTGTGTCGCTTGAAGACCTTGGCTGTGTGCGAGTGACTTCTGTGGTTGACTGTTGCCCTACCCCTCGCGAATCTAGCGCGCCCACTCCCAATGCCCGAGTCGCACAATGCAGCATGTCAATCGGCAAGTTCATTCGCCTCGCCTTGCCACCCACACCATGGCGCGCGGCAACGTCAACGAGACCTGTTTCGCAAACGCGCAGGAGCCGACGAAATTGGGACGAATTTGCTGGTGTGCGACACGAATGGTAAAGGGTTTACGTGAGAGATTGACGAGGGGGGGAGGTGTCGCATGAGTCGCAAGGGCTGTCAGTCGCAACCAATCAGTTTCCGCCTCACGGTTACCCATTTTCAAGCAGCCGATTTTCAAGGCGGAAAGGTGAATGTGTACCTTCCCCTCAGCCAAACCTATCACCAGATCCTAGGTCCCAGCTTCACGTGGTTGAACGTGTCTTCGAACGGTTCTGAGAATATTTTCAGTGTTTCAGTGCGGTGACGAGACTTATCTGAGTCGGACCTTCAAGAATGACCACCTTGCACCCAACCAGCTTGTTCTCTCGCTACACTTTCGTCCAAGGCACAATCTGGAAACGGGCGGTCCAACCATCGCAATTCCCACCACTCCCCTCGTTTTTCTTTCCTTGCTCTTAGAGGGCGCACCCTCAACTGATCAGTGGCGACATGGCAAGGTTGGTTTGATCGATGCGACTAGAAATTAGTGAATAAAGTCTAGCCTCCACATCGTTGACGGTATAGGGAGAAACAATGTCGAGTAATCGTGTTTAGTCTGGACCTCCTCTTCGAACGCCCTCAAACGGTCGTCGCTTGATTATACAACATCTCCGGTTCCCTTGGGAAGCTTTTAAAGTGTTTAAAGTATCGCAGCAATGGTGCGAAGCCCAGAGTATCACGGCCGCGATGGCGGAAGCATCGCCCGCGCTGCAGCCTGCCGCTGGTCCCCCACGATCCCGAGCCCCGGATACTGGCAGAAGCTCCGCGGAAAGAAAGACTTCACAGACTCCGTGCGGTTCGGGTGTTTCGTGTCGCTAGCTCTCGCGTCGGCGGTTGTTGTAGCGCTCGCGGCTGTGATGATAGTCTCGCCGCAATCCCCGCAAAAGCTGCTGCTTAACTCCGCGTTTTCCGCGTCCTCCTCGTTGCCGATTCTTCCGGCGACGAATGTGGCGACAGATGCGGCGACAGATGGGAGCTCATATGAGATTCGCGCGGAACGAAGCAGCATGCCGGAGACGAATAGCGGCGTGGCTGTCGCCATAGCGGAGGTACTAACGAGTAACGTGTAGTCTTTTCCTGAACTTGTAAAGGGTAGATCGTACGGCTCCTTGCTCACAGCTCTTAGGGTAAGCTCACAAGTTACATCAACGGTTCACAGGCTACAGTAACGTGTCAATTCCACGGCCAATCAGCGGCATGTCGCAGTCACTGCTTGACACGCCTCCGCGCAAATTTCTCTCCGCGTTCTCCCACCGATTTGTATCCTCGTTCCCCCAACGTTCTTCTCGATGCTCTGCCAACGTTCTTCTCCACGTTCCCCCAACGTTCTTCTCCGCGTTCCCCCAACGTTCTTCTCCGCTTTCCCCCAACGTTCTTCTCCGCTTTCCCCCAACCTTCTTCTCCGCGTTCCCCCGACAGGGCGATCTTCCCGCGCGAATGCAGACCCTCTGTCTCGCACCCGCGGTGGCGGCAGCGCTGTGGCGCCGCCAGCAGCAGCGGACGGGGGAGGGGTGGACGCAACCCGCGGGTACGCGCCTTGGGCTTCGCGCAGGGGCGGGGGGAGCGGAAGGAGAGGCCATGCGCATTTCGATAGTGTGGGCGCAAAAAGGAGCAGAACGCGGAGCGGAAGGGGGGAATGCGGATGTGGCGTTCCGCTCGCTGTTTCAAGGTCCGCCCGCGCGCAGCCGAATGGAGCTTCCCCGCGGACTGGCGGAGTCTTGGCCGGATGTGACCGTGTCGGAAGGGGCAAGCGGCGGAGACGGAGAGCGCGAATCGCAGGAAGGGTTGGAGGAAATCACAGTGAGTACTTAATCAGGTGGACGGGACGGGGAAGGGCTGCTCATGTGGATAAGCCACTTCTCCGTCCCGTCCACCTGATGACACTTCTTGGCATATTGTATTTCGAAGCGCCTCCACAGTCGCATTCTCCGCCTGATTGTGAAATCGTCCTCTACTCTATCAATGATTGTTATAATGAACCTTGCTCACAAAGTCGTCCTCTCCCGACGCTCCTCGTAGATTCCGCGTCCCTCTTCCTCGCCGCTCCCCTCGTCCATTCACTCTCCACCGCTTGAAACATTCGTCGTTCCTTCCCATCGTTCGTGCTAGGTGAACGTGCCTCATTGCTCGGAAGATGCGACCAACGGGAGCGCGACACCTGGCACGGGATTCGTGCATCCGGGCTGGAAGGTGTCGCTGCGAGTGCCACGTCATCTGAAGACGCTCAGGCACCAGGATTGGGTAGGTAACAGGGGGCGTAAGTTAAAACCTGGTACGATGCGAGTTGAGAGTTTTAAGCAGCCTAGAGATTCGATTGATGCTCAAACATTTTGAGGCGCCTCAAAAGGGGCTGCAATTAAATGCTTCGAGCCCTCAAACCAGTGGTAGATTTCGCATATTATGGGTTCACCATCCTATGCTCGCCCACAACCTCGCAGCCCCTTCCCTTTGAAATCTTCTCCTCCACCTCTCGCACATTCCTCCCGCCCTCCCCGTCCCCTGTGCTTCTCCCCCCAGACACCCCCCGAGGCATGTTCCACCTTCCGCCTCTTCCAGTCATGCCTGGGAGCTCTACAGCCCTCGCCACGTGTCAGCAAATTACTGGATGGAGAACTGGGGGAGGAGCAGGAGGATGAGGCCGAAGGAGCAGGAAGCACAGTGTCACTTTTCTCCAGGCTTAAATCGAGTACAGCAGTGTACCTTGAGGTGAGCGAGGGACCAAGATATGTCGGTGGTGCTCTCTTCTAGATTCACGTTCTAAGCATTCAACGATGCATGATCCTTTGCTCAAAGTTTTGTCTTATTTTTTGTGCTCATTGACAGGCCAATCAGGTGATGCCAAGTGGCACGTGCGGAGGGTGCCCTGAGGACCCTCTACTCAACTGCACGCTTCGCACGCTGACGTGGCGCTACCTGCGCGTGCCGTCCAACTCGTCTGACGTGGACTTCACTGTAGCAGCTGCCTCTGCTACAGACGCTGCTACAGTCGCCGGCACCTTCCATCCCCTGCGCGCCCCGCTCCTCCTCCCCCACACCCGCAAGCGCATCAACCTGGGCTGCCCTGCCTCTCCCCCTCTTTCCGCCTCCCTTTCTTCTGCTCCCTCTCCTCCTCCTCTCTCTACCTCCTCTCCACGATCCAGCAAGAACAGCGAGCAGCATAGCGAGGGCGAGGAGGAGAGCGAGCGAGAGGAGCAGCTGGAAAGCGAGGAGCAGAGGGAGGAGGAGGAGGGAACCGGGAGCGGGGAGCAGAATGAGGGTGAGGTTGGAAGGGAGAGCGAGCAGCAGAGCGCGGACGGGCAGAACAGCGAGGGCGAAGGGGTTCCAGCAAAGGCAGTGCGGCGAAGATGGGTGCTTGACAAGGGAGGAGATGCGGAGGATGCAGGGAGTGAGGGGAGTGAGGAGGCAGAAGACTTGCAGGGGGAGGAAAGGGAAGAGGAAACGAGGGCGGAAGAGCAGGCGGGAGGAGAAGAGAGGGTTGGGCAAGTCACGAAGAAAGAAATAGGCAACAGTGATAGCAGCAGTGGCGGCACCCACATGAGCAGCCGTAGCAGACGCGGAAGAAAAGGCAGGAGCAGCACAACCGCGAGCAGCAGTGGTACTGGCAGTACCACCACGACTGCCACCACTGGCAGTGGGACTGGCAGCACGAGCAGCGCTGCTGCTGCTGACCTGACGGAGTGTCAGCAGCTGCAACTAGCAGAGCTGCTGCTGCTGTCGTCTGCTCGAGGGCTGCTCCACACGCGTCCCTCTGTGGAGGCACTCTTCATTGCCGCCCGGGCCAGGGCGCGGATCAACCAGAACTTACACGCTGCGGCTGCTGCTCCTGCTGCTGATGCTACTGCTGCCGCTGATGCTGCTGTGGCATCTGGAGGTGGCGAAACTGGTGGTTCGTTGGGGGAAGCTGGTTTCTCCACGGCGGCCCTGTCTGCATCCTCGTTTGTGGGGGATCCGTCAGTGTGTGAAGCCCCTGAGCTGGCGCCCTTCAAGAACATGTGGTTCCTGCGACAGTACCTTGTGGATGGTGAGTGCTTTCTGTGCGCATAATATGGGTCCAGTGACCCGTCTTACCCCTCATCTATCCCTGCTGATTACCACAATGGCGTTCTTTGGAAAATGGTGTTGGCACTTTCGGACCCTTAACCCGCTCCCTATCCACTCCCCCAACTCCCCATCTGACGTTCTCATTTCCCTTCCTTGCCAACCCCATTAATCAGAGGAGCTAAAGACCATATACTGCTTTGTGCCCAAGGCAGCGTGCACGAGCTGGAAGGTGTGGTTCCGCCAGCAGCACAACCTGCCCAACATCTCCGACGTCTACCTCGCCCACGACCCCAAGCACTCAGGCCTGCACGTGCTCGCGTCCGGATACACCGAATCTGCCGTCATGGCGCTCCTCACCCGCCCGGACTTCTTCAAATTCACGTTCGTGCGCCACCCGTTCGCGCGCCTGGCGTCCGCTTACCTGAACAAGCATGTGAACGGGGGGCCGCCGCAGGGGCGGGCGTTTTGGAACAAGAGGTTCTTCCATGGGACGCGGCCGTTCCAGTGGTTGGTGGAGCATCAAGGGGGATCGGATTTGCTGCAGTTTGGGGACTTTGTGGGGCTGCTGCGGACCATGTTCAAGAGGAGACGACGCACCATGGACCCCCATGTTGCCCCCCAGGTGGGTGCCTGCCTTACCCGACGTTGCCCCTCAGGTAGTGCCCCTACCATACCCTGTAAAGCCTGGGCCTTGTGTTAGCATGTGTGCCTGTGAGTGCACCCCCTCCTGCTTTCCCTCACTCCCTGCCGTGTGCCTCACCTTCACCACCACCCTCTCCTTTTCATGCTGGATGCCGGTTGTTGCCCGGGTGGACTGTGGACGAGTGCAGGTTGATCCGCTATCAGAAGTTGGTTTGACTTGATTTGTTTCCCCCTGCTGACAAACTGCTGTGCTCATAATGCACCAGACTGTGGAAAACTCCAACTGAATACTCTCGCCTCTTGCCTCCTCTCCCTACTCCCCCCACCTCCCCTCCCATCCCAACCCCTCTCTGAAAACTATTTCTGTTTTCAGGTGGATGTGTGCAGGCTCAACGACATTCGGTTTGACTTTGTGGGTCATTTTGAGAACCTGGCGGAGGATGTGCCGGTGGTGATGCAGCGCCTGAATCGCACTATCACGTCTGAAGCATTCTCCATTGGGAAATCAGCGCACCCCACTAATGCTCGCGACAAATTCCTTGATCTATTCGACCAGGTAAGTTCATGTCAGTGTGGTTGGTATCATTACCCGTGGTTCCATGTCACTTGTGTACACCATTTTCATGCCGTGATTTCTTCCTGTTTGGCTGGTGGTTTTGCAGAACGCGTATGACGAAGCAACTGAGTTTCTCTCCATAGACATGAACGTGCCGCTGAACAACATATCGTTTTCACCTCCCCCAAGATTACTCGAGCTCTTTGGGAAAGTAAATAAGGCCCGTGCTGGTCGGAATAGACGGCGTGGTTAATGCACGGTGCACAAAACAAAACTAGATACTTTGGGACTCTTAGGTCTTTAGACCAGGCCACGGGTTGCGTAGGGAGGGCACTCAAGGTATTGTACAAAAAGTCCTTGCTATTTGGATTGGTGGCCCATCTTTAGATGCCATGCACCTAGCAACAGAGCCACAATGTGAGGTTGGGTAAAGGAGCTGTCAATACTGAAAAGGTCATTAGTCGCTCGAAACACGACCTGGGGAGTACCGAAAGCGTGAAACATTACAGGAAAGTGGAATGCAGGTTGCGCTACTGCGACCTTCGCCACGGGAAAATATTGTGTCAACGAGTGCTACCACATGGTATCTCAAAACTAGCGAAATTGCAACTCCGATTCCACGCCTCCCTCCAAGCCACGTTCTCGGGAGTACGAGGTCTTACGTAACAAACGACCCACCAGGCTCTTACGTATAAGGGTAACTTATTTGTTTCCAGCTCCCCCGACTTTCTCCCACTTCTCCCATATCGAATCTTTCCGAGTTTTTACCGCTGCGGAATGTCTGCGGAAGGATCCGACGCGGCGGCAGCCGCGCAGGCTGCACCAGAGACCTCCACTCCCGCTCCCGCTGCTGACGTGGATCAGCTTGCAGGATCGTTCAATGGGTGCGATCAGATTCTCTCTAATTCCTTCACCCTTTCCCTGCTGGTCCGTTTTGACCACTCGCTTTCGGGCAGCGCTATGCGTCTGGTACTCAGAGCGATCGCCTTCGTGTCGTCGCTCCGACTCCGAAAGAGTTGGTTTCGGTTGCTGGGATGCATGACGGACGGCGTAGCATGGGTTCAGGGTTGCGCACTTGCGTTCTCACCCTCGCTCTCCCCCTCGCGCTCCCCCTCACTCCCCCTCTCGCTCTCTTCCTCGCTCTCGGTAAGTTTGTTTCCGTCTTTGCCTCCACTCAAAACGAGCTCGATTCCCCCCTTTCGCTGTCCACGTGGCAGGATGACATTGGACGAGCGGTACGCGCTGGTGCGGAGCGTGGGGGAGGAGTGCATTCAGGAGGACGAGCTGCGCAACCTGCTGCTAAAAAAGAAGGACCCCGTCGCCTACGACGGCTTTGAACCGTCTGGTCGCATGCACATCGCACAGGTACGTCGCACGGCGTTCAAGTGGTTCGCACAAGTAAGTCGCACGTCGCTCATGCGAGTCGCACAACGCTCAAGTAAGTCGCACGTCTCTCCACCGCTTCCCCCAACTCCACCGTCCCCCTTCCTCCTTTCCCCTCCTTTTCAACCCCCCCCCCCCCCCTTTCCCCCCCCTTCCCCCTCCCCTCCCCCTCCCTCATCCCCCCCCACACCCCCCCTCAGGGAATGATGGAAGCGCTGAACGTGAACAAGCTGAACCAATCAGAATGCATCTTCAAGCTCTGGGTGGCGGATTGGTTGTACCTACTCCACTTTCTCTCAACCTCTCCTCACTTCCCCCCCACTACAACCCCCCCATCACCCCACTCCCTCCCCTCCTCCTCCCTCACCTTCCCCAGGGAGTGATGAACAAGCGCCGAGCGTGAACAAGCTGACCCAATCAGGATGCACTTTCAAGTTCCGGGTGGCGGACTGGTTGCCCACCACATCACCGTCCCTCAACCCACTCCATCACACCCAACCCCTCCCTCCCATCCTCCGTCTTTCAGGGAGTGATGAAAGCACTGAACGTGAACAAGCTGACCCAATCAGGATGCATCTTCAAGTTCTGGGTGGCGGACTGGTTCGCGCAGCTCAACAACAAGATGGGCGGCGATCTCAAGAAGATCCAGACCGTCGGTCGCTACATGATGGAGGTGTGGCGCGCAGTGGGCATGGATCTCACACGCGTGGAGTTCCTCTGGTCGTCTGAGGAGATCAACGGGCGTGCGGGCGAGTACTGGCCTCTGGTCATGGATATTGCCAGGAAGAACAAGCTGCCAAGGATTCTCAGGTGGGTGGGGTAGCACAGGAAACGGGGTTGTGCAGAGATGAAGCAAGGGGAGATGCCTTGTTTAGTGTGGGTATGGGTCGCATGGGCCTTGCTCTTCCTCAGCAGGAAAGTCGCTCTCTCTTTTCTCTCCCCTTGTTCCTCTTGTTCCCTGCCATCCACCCTCTCCCTGGAGCCCCTCAGGTGTTCACAGATCATGGGGCGCAGTGAGACGGACGAGCTATCTGCAGCGCAGATCTTCTACCCCTGCATGCAGTGTGCCGACATTTTCTTCCTCAAGGTCAGCATGCCTCTTGTCGCAACTCACCTCCTGTCCAGTTCTCAGAACAGAGCCTCGGATTGTGAATGCAGTGTGTCAACATCTTTACCGTCGAGTTCGCCTCACATGAATGAAGTCCTGTTCCGTTTCCAGAGTCAGACCGTCTGCCTGCAAAGTCTCTGTTGCGTTGCTATTGCCGTGACACATATGAACTCCATCCATTGTTGTATCTGTCGCATGTCCGAATCGCAGGCGGACATCTGTCAGCTGGGCATGGACCAACGCAAGGTGAATGTGCTGGCGAGGGAGTATTGCGACGACATCAAGAGGAAGATGAAGCCCATCATCCTCTCCCACCGTAAGCGCTTTGTTCTTTTTGTTCAGTAGCGCTGCACCGCTGGCTGTAGAGGCATTGTGCTCTTTATATCTCGTCATGATACACTCTCAGTTCGTTTTGCGTATTCGTTTGCTGATGCTTTGCCCCTGTGGCTCCTTTGCGCATTCAATGTCTGCGGTTCGGTGTGCATGCAGACATGCTGCCGGGGTTGTTGCAAGGGCAGGAGAAGATGTCAAAGAGTGACCCCAACTCTGCAATCTTTATGGAGGACGAGGAGGTAAGACGTTTTGGATGCAGCGGGTGGGGGGACTAAGCTGAAATCTTGGTCAGGGGGAAAGTGTCACCCTAGGCACGGCGCCACCACCCCAAAAGTGCCTTCCGAAGCTTGAGCACTTGGTTGTTGATGTATCTAGTTGCTGGTATATCTGGTAATTCACTCCACTTTCCACCATGCACTGTTTCTGGCAGGCGGAAGTGAATGTGAAGATCAAGAAGGCGTTCTGCCCGCCAGGGGAGGTGGAGGGCAACCCGTGCATTGCCTACGTGCAGTACATTGTGCTGCCTTGGTTCAAGCAGTTTGAGGTGGAGCGCAAGGAGGAGCACGGAGGCAACGTGTGAGTTGATAGTGATTTTTTTCTCTCAAGCTATCGCTCACCGTTGTGCATGCTGATGGCTGGTCCTTGCACTCCTTGTGCATTGTGTCACCCAATGGTTCTGGGACTCGTTTGTCATAATCTCCCCATACTGCTTCTCCTTCCTTGTTCCCTTCCCATTTTCCCTGTTCAGGATTTACACCGATGCTGATCAGCTGTGTGCAGACTACAAGGATGGTAAACTCCATCCAGGTGACCTCAAGCTGGCGCTTTCCAAAGCAATCAACAAGATTCTCCAGGTGAGTCCATGGACCACTTAGTGCTTCCCTGTCATTACACTTGTACTATGATGCTCTTTTTCCTGACCTCGAGCATTGCCGTGCAGCCTGTACGAGACCACTTCAAGACAAACCCTGACGCAAAGAAACTGCTGGCACAAGTGAAGGTAAGTGACGAGTTTTCATGGCTATCAGGAGTTCTGCTGTACATAAACTCGCTGATTCCTTTCCTCGTTGCCTTTTTGTTATGCAGAGCTACAAGGTTACGAGGTAGCAGCAGTGAAGCTGCTGGTAGTGTCTCTCCATGTAACTTACCTGTGAATGTCAAGGCAGGTGTCATGCTGCTGTTGGAATGACTACACTGTTCATGCATTCAGAACTAATGTTTTGTAGTGAGAGTCATGGTAGAACCAAGCCTTTCAGAATCACGAAGGCAACCTGAATAAGAAACGAAGACGACTAAAAAATAGTATGTCACAGTGAAACTGTTGGAACAATGACTGCTGAAAAAACTACTTTACAGCTGCCTTGGACTTCGATGACTTGGAAGATGTGGTTGTAGCAGCAGCGGGAGCATCAGCGGTAGTGGCAGCAGCCGCAAAGGATGGAGGAGGATTGTGCTTCAGCTTCAGCAATACCTGAAATAAACCAGATTTGACAAATTTATGCATGGAATTGTGCTGAAAACATGTCAGACACACAGGAAGATGCTACAGTTTGGCTTACCTGGCGCATGCGGGCTAGATCGGTATGCTTGCCCGGTTTAGCATCGTTAAGCTGAGTTGACATGCGAGTCGGCTCATCCTTCTTCTTCGCCTTCTCCTTCTTAATGGATACGTCAAAGTTTGTGAACGCACACACACTCTCCCAGTAGTTCCCACCCTGCTTAGAGTTGAGGCTCAAGAGGTTGTCCACGTATGCCTTCTCCTTCTCCCTGAGAACGGGAAATGATAGATCTTATCAGAACTGAAACAGCTCATTCTGTACCTGACCAGAACAACAACACCCACGAACCTGTTGTTCGTCTTGGCCTGTGTGACTTGCATCTCACGCTTCTTGTAAAATGCTTCAAGCTCGGCTTTCGAGTCCTCCAGCACCTGAACAGTCAGGGTAAGGTCCAAGACTATGAAATCGACACCCATACTTGATAATATTCGTGACATGTTCATTCCCGGACCCCATCAGATGAATTTAAATCAACATGAATAATCATAGTCTTTTCGAAATAACCAAGTTGATTCGTTACCACAAATAGCTCACCTGTTGATGCTTCTCTCTTGAAATACGAGCCTTCTCCTCAAGCTCGATGGCCTTCTTCCTCCTCCATTCCCTGATGGCGAAAACAGAGGGTAAAAGTGAGACCACAAATGTCTTGCTGCTCGACGATGAACAATAGGCTATACCATCTTCGTCTATCTGACCTAATCGTCACCTTAGCAAAATCGACTCCTCGGACCCCATCTGTGAGGGAGGAGGAAGCTTCGCTCCGCCATCAAAGGTGCCGTTTTCCTCCGCAGGGGGAGCATATTTGCCAGCAGCTGCTTCTTGCTCTTCTCCTACACCATTGCAGGGGGAGCCCTCATAGTCGAACCCCTCCATGTCGTAACTTCGGCAGGACTGTACAAAATATAACAATAATCCGGCAACAAAAGCTACGATCGACAGCCGATTTACAAGGCCAGGAGGAGAATCAAGGGCGTAGGGATCCAAATCTCGAGCTAAGATGGGATGGGTGAGTTCGGTGTCACAGCAGGATCTGGCACTCAATCATGAACTTGGTTCCACAGAAAAGCTTGCACATCGTCAGCAGAACAACCCCTCGAGGGAATTGCACTGGCACGCACGAAAACCATCGAGCGAGATCTCGTTGTTTTGGGTAACCACGGTTGTTCCTCCTCGCAACGGCAGTTTTTCTGTTGGGAGCAGTCACCTGACAACGGCTAAAAGCGGAATTACGCCGTATCAAGTGTCCTGATGATATAATGTGCAAAGAATTCACTAACAATAAAGACGTGATTGGTTAGTACTGTTTATTATAAGGAATTGTTGATTGTATTTCAGTAAGAAGTTTGCGCAAAAACATCTTTTAAAGCGGCTGGAGGCTCGTAATGTATACCATTAAGAGGGATGCTGAAGTCTGACGCATACAGCCCCTTCACCATCTCGTATATTTCCTGAGCACAAGAGCAACCAAGGAAAACATGGAGAGCAAATGTGCAACATTCGAGAAGTTCACATGCCATGTAGTGGTGCATATCAACAGGTCATCAACAAGCCCCAGCACTTCAGACTACAGTATCAATCACATTACCTTGGTGTACATTTCCCGCTGGCGCACATCAGCATCGGTTCGATGAGCCTCCTTGCCCACCCCAAAGGCTTGCAAGGGCGAAGTGCCAAGGTGGTTCATCACATACTCCACGCCCTCCTGCAGCTGCTCGAATCTCCCCACATAGTCGTACTTGATGCTCTCGAGGTCACACACGTCCGCCTGGTAGAAGCAAGGGGATGGAGTTGGTTGGATTGTGCACCCACTTGTGGAGCTGTGAGGAGATAAAAACAAGAAACGGTGATTCCAAAAAGTCTCCAAGAACACCGACCTGGGGTGCAATGCGGGGTTCCATGCCATACTGGTGCTTGCTCTCTGGCAGTGGCAAGGCTGACTTCTAAGACGTCTCAAAAGCCAACTTAGAAGTCTTCAAGAAAGCACCGACCTGGGGTGCAATGTGGGGCTCCATGTCGGCACGGTGCTTGCTGACAGTGGCGAGGGCGAGCGTGATGAACGTGGCGAATGTCATGTTGTAATCCGCACCCTCTGGTGCGATCTGCAGCAGCCTGGCGCCCTTCCATGCGAAGAATCTCTGCTCTCAGGTGGGTGGAAAGGGGCGTGACATGAGGGAAGGAGATCCTGTTGTACTTGGGAGAGGAGACATTGGAGGCAACGTGCTTGTTGAGGAAGGCAGAGAGTGCCTGTGAGTGCAAGTGCATTTGTGCAGTGCAGTGCACTGCAGTGCAGTGCAGTGCAGTGCAGTGCGGTGCGGTGTGGTGCGGTGCGCACCTTGTTCCACTGCAGGCGGTCCTTGGGGTCGGCCCAGGCAACGTGCTTGTTGAGGTAAGCAGAGGCCACGCGGGAGAAGGGGTTGCGCACAAAGGTGAAGCGGAACATGTCCGGCCGGGTGAGTACGCGGATGGCCTCACTCTCCATGAACGCGTGCCTGCACAACACAGAGCAAGGGGGGCATGTGGAAGGGGAAGGGGGCAGCGAACAGAAGGCAAAGGAAAGGGTGGTGGACCAAGGGTGAAGCAAAAGAGGGTGGTGCATCAGCATCATGCACGTTATGCCATGTCACGCCATGTTCAACCGTTTTTTAGACTGTATCAGGTCTCAACTCACTCACCATAGCTGGTCCAGGCCACTGGCGTCAGCATCGTGCACATGCGCCATGCCATGCCATCTTGAATCATCTTTGCCATTGCATCAGGTCTCCACTACCCACCTGTCCGCTACTGACAAGTCTTGCATCAGGTGACAACTCACCAGAGCTGGTCCAGGCCACTGGTGTCAGCATCGTGCACATGCTCTATGTCATCGGGGGTGGTGCGGCCGCGCTGCTGCTGGAACCACAGCTTCCAGCTCGTACACGCCACCTTGGGGATGTAGCAGTACATGGCCTTCAGGCGCTCTGAGGAAACGCCGAGGGAGAGAGGAACGAGAAAAAAAGAGGGGGAATATGGGGGAGGGAACAAGGGAAGGGGATGTGGGGGAGATAACAAGGGAGCAAGAGGGAACCTGGAGGGTGTAGCAGAAGGTAGACACTTGATATTCCAGGATTACTGAGGCGTGTCTGGTAGCGAGGCAAACCAGAAGCATGGGAGCAGCAGAGGAGCAGCCGAAGGGCAGAGGGACTCACCATCCACGATCATGTGGCGAGCGGCACGGCTCTTGATGACAGGCGGCACAGGGGGCGCTTGACACACACTCAGCTCATCACCCGACCCTCCACCAGCAGCAGCACTAGCGTCAGCAGCAGCGCTGGTGGCACTTGTATCATCCACGCTCCCGCCCTCCCCACTTGTGGTGGAGGTGGTGGTGGAGGTGGAGGAGGAGGAGGTGGAAGCGTGGTGGAGGCGGAAGGCCATCTGGGCGCGGATGAAGTCGGCTGCTGTGCTGCGGTACAGACTGAACACGGCCTGCGCCCGTGACAGCCAGTATAACTCCGCCAGCTGGAGGTATGGGGAGAGACGGAGAAGAGGGGAGGCGGGGAGGGACGGATGAGGAGTGGTGGTTGCTCATTCCTATACTTGGTCAGATGTCAACTCGTCACATGTCACATGTCGAATGGAAGCATGCACAGCCCCACATGCCATATGCCCCCATGCCCTGCATGCCTACCCTTAGTCGAGCACACAGCCGGTCATCTCTCCGCTTCGACGCCCCGGCCTTCCGAGCCGCCTCTTCCTCCTGCAACTCCGCCAGCTGTTGCCACGTCAGCGCCAAGTCAGCACCCAAAAGCTGTCTCCTGTTCAGCACACCACTGCCAGACCCCCCAATACCGCCCCCTGACTCGTGAGACGTCTCAAAAGACACCGACTCAGCACCCAAAAGCCTTCGCCTGTTCGACTCCGCACTGCCAGAGCCTCCAACAGTGCCCCCTGAACCTGAACCGTCCCCCCCATGGGCGCCCCTCCTCCGCTGCCTCTCCTGCGCCAGCTGCTTCAGCCGCTGCTTCATCGCCCAGTACTGCCCCTTCTGCCCGTTTCCTCCCTCCCCGCCCCCTCCCTCCCCTCCCCCACCCTGCGCAAAACCTCCCTGCACGGCACTGCCAGAGGCCCCAAGAGCGCCCCCTGATCTATCTCTCTCAAGGGCTTTCTGCCTCTCCTGCGCCAGCTGCTTCAGCCGCTGCTTCATCGCCCAGTACTGCCCCTTCTGCCCGCCCCCGCCTTGCCCGTCCCTTCCCTGACTGCCCCCTCCCTGCCCGTCCCCTCCCTGTGCACCCGCCCCCTGCCCGCCCGCTCCCTGCCAGCCTCCGCCAGTGCCCTGGGTACCCGTGCCCACTGCACTGACCACTCGTAGGTCTAGAGCCACGCCCTGTCCTGCTGCTCTCGGTGGGTCAACAAACCGCACCTGCTGCTGCTGGGACAGCTGTGCTAGAGATTCCTGCTGCTGTCCTCCCTGTCCTCCCTGTCCTCCCGGTGCGCCCTGTCCGCCCTGTCCGCCCTGTGCGGCCTGTGCGGCCTGTGCGGCCTGTGCGCCCTGTGTTCCCCCACTGCCTCCTCCTTGCGTTCCTCCTCTTGCTGCCCCCTGCGTTCGCCATCCCACCCGCCTGTACTTGATTCCTCTCATCCCCATCTGCTCCTCAGATCTCAATGATCCCCGCTCCGGGCGCAGGGCGAGAGGGGGTGGTGATGGGCATGCCACCTGGCGCCGACGTGTCAGCCTGAGGAGGTACGGCCGACGAAGCGGATGGAAGGCTGAGATGAGCGTCTCAGCATCCGATGGCCAGTACGCGCCGATCAGGAAGTCAGGCAGGGCACGGGAGGAAGCGGAGGAGGACGAGTCAGAGGAAGGAGAAGGGGCGTGCGTGCGCATGTAGTGGTATGCGATGCGGCGGATGGTGCAGTTGAGGAGGTCAGCAGGCGGACAGCCCGCACAGGGCAACGCACGGGCCTGGGGAAGCGTCCAGGGGGGAGTGGGCTGGAGTGGGGAGAGGAGGGTTGGAAGAGGGAGGGAGGGAGGAGGAAACATGCCAAACGTCAAGGAGAGGCTGCCAGATTGCATTGCCAGGATGTCAGGAGAGGCTGTCACTCTCCATTCCCTACCGTCTGGAGAAGCTGGTGTTAAGATGTCAGGAGGAAGGCAGCCAGCAGGGGAGAGGGCACGAGCTGCCTGGACAACCATCTATGACTTTTGAGACGTCTCAAAGGTGGGACTGCAAGAGAAGGTGCAGTGTAGGGTGTGCAGAGAAACCGGAGGGAGTAGAAAGTGACCATGCAAGCTGGCTGCTGGTTGGACGTGGTCACGTGGAGCGCACTCACCTCCAGATACACTGCTGTGCTCCGAGCAACAATCTCTCCAATGCTGCTGCCATCCCGCCTCTCCCCCACTCCTCGCCCTCGTGAACCCTCCTCGTCCTCCCTCCCCTCACTTCCATTCTCCCCATCACCCGCCCCTTCCCTCTTCTCCCTCTCCTCCTCCCCCTCTCCACCCTCCTGCTCCTCCTCCTGGCGAATCAGAGAGAGGACGGCATCGGACGGCTGTAGCTTCCCCAGGCACACCCGCACCTCCTCCTCGTACCGGCACGCCACGCGCCGGTCGGCAAAGTCCGGCAGCACTAGCCCCCGCACAGTGTACAGCTGCAGCCGCGCCGTCCAGTGCCCATACCGGTCTGCATCGCTCTCCACCCTAGTGCTGTTGCTGCTGGCGGAACCCTGGGAATCCCACCCTTGGGAATTCATTTCCTGGGAAATGCCCTCCTGCTGGGGAGTCCAGCCAGTGGCTTGGCGCATGCGAGAGACCTCCTGGGCGTAGCGGCGCACGTCGGGTGCCACTCTCAGCAGCTCTGCTCCTGATGCCACCCTGCCGGCTGACGGCTCGGGGCAGCGAATGAAGGATATCTAGACGAAGGAGGGGAGGGAGAGAAGCGGAAGGAGTTTTGATAGCCATGTTGCTGACAGCTAACGGCTTGACTCACCTCTCGCTGAATGAGCTTTTCTCCAGCCACCACATTGGCTCCTAGCTGAGAAGGAACTCAGTGGCGTTCTTTTGCACTTGAACAGACATGCGCGCATCAAACAGGTCGCCAAACCGTGAGAGTGCAGGCACTGAGAGGCTTCAAGCACTGACTCACCTCGCGCCGCATGAGCTTCTCCCCAGCCACCACATGCCTAAGCGGCGTTCTCCTGCACGTCTACAGAGAGTGGGAGTGCAGGCAGTGAGGGTTCGTCTTTCGGGTCCTGACCTGACTCACCTCTCTACGCATCAGCTTCTCCCCAGCCACAACATGTCGTAGCAGGAACTCAGTAGCGTTCTCCTGCACGTCTACAGGCATGCGAACATCAAACAGGTCCTCAAACCGCACCATCCCCACCTCCCCCGCCATACCCCCTTCCGCCCCCCCCATCCCCGCCTCCCCCTTCTGTCCCTCCCCCTCTCCTCCCCTCACACCTCCCCCCACACCTCCCCCCACACCTCCTCCCACACCTCTCCTCATCCTCCTCCTCATTCTCCGCCGTCTGGCCTCTCTCAGCCTCCTCAGTTCCTCTTCTCCTGTGCTCATCTCCTCTAATAGCCTACGCTGCTGCCGCCCTCCCCCAAGCACCCCCCCCGCGTTCCGGCTTTGGGGGAGGCTGTGGGAGCGTTTGGGGAAGAAGCGGGGGCGGGGGCGGAGGGTCCAGAGGGCGCGGAAGCGGGTGTTGGCGAGCACAGTGAGGGCCTCAGCGGCGCAGACAGCCTCCATTCGCTGCTCCAGGCTGCCCCGTGCGACCACCACACCCTGCCGGGGCCCGCATGCTGCCATACTGCGCTGCTCCCTGCACCGGCGGGATGTGCGCGTGTGGAACATCAGAGAGGCGGGTCGGCGCCACAGCTTGCTGGTGGTCGAGGTGGTGGTGGTGGTGCTGCTGCTGCTGATGCTGCCGTCCCCGCCGCCGCTGCTAGTGCTGCTCGTGTCTGCCGGCTGTTCTTGGATCTGCTCTGAGTTGGCCTGCTGCTCTGGTGTTTCTTGGTGAGCTTCGCTTTGATCTGAGTCTTCCTGAGTGGCGGTACCCAAGGGCTCTGACCCATCTCCTTCCCCTCCCCCACTTTCTCCTCCTGCTGCTGCTTCCTGATGCACCCCCTCTGCTACACCTCCCCCACCTTGTTCCCCTCCCCCACTCTCTCCTCCTGCTCCTGCCTCCTCATGCATCCCCTCTGCTACCACTCCCGCACCTTCTCCTCCCTGCTCGTTGTCGGCTGCCATGCCCCCGCCCGCCCCTCCATTCGCATCTCTGTTTTCCCCGCCATCTCCCACCTGCCCTTCCGCTTCGCCTTCTCTCAACGCTTGCTCCTGCAATCCCTGCCCCTGCAACCCCTGCTCCCGTTCCTGGTTCCGTACTTGACCCCCCAAACCCGTGGCCCCCTCTCTTCCTTCCACATCCGCTCGCAACCAGCCCGTCCCTCCCAACCCTCCCACCTTCTCCCATCCGCCCTGCCCTTGCCCCACGCTCCCACCGCTCCTCTCCCAGCCCACCACTGGCACTGCCTGCTGGCTCTCCCTCCGCACCTTCGCCCCGGCGCTCCTTATCCCCTCCACCAGCGCGCCCTCCCTCGCAGACAGCACATACAAGCCCAGCAGCGCAGAGGCGAGGAGCAGCAGCAGCAGCGGGACGAGCAGCAGCGGGTGGATACGGCAGCAGTGGCGGGAGCGGCGGCGCTTGCGGCTGGGGGAGGAGGATGGGGAGGTGGGAGGAGACTCGCGGTGGCCTGTGAAGAACGAGGCCAGGCTACTACGGCAGCCTCTGGGAAAGAACCATCGTAGGCATCCCCTTTGTTTTCTTCCTCTCGCTTTTCCTCCGTCTCCTCCCGTTCCTGCTGCTACTGCTGCTGCTGCTGGCCCTGCTTCGGGCATAAGCTTGGCTGAATCGCCCACAGGCTTACAACCAAGCCCTTCCAGACCAGCACGAGCGGACCCAGGAGTGTCCCTCCCGCTCTCACTCCCCGTCTCATCCCCATCCACCCCGTAAAACCCACCTCCCACCACTTCATACCGCACTCCCTCCCCGTCCGCCTCATCCACTCCCACAGGGGTTATACTCCCCCCCATCCACTCCCACACTCCCTCCGCCACAGGCGCCACAGCTTTAACCACTCTGCTCTCCCACAACCCACCAAAAGGCAGCCCTATGCCGAAACGGAACGGAAGAGCAGAAGAACGCGCCCTAGAGGAGTCATCGGGAGTGTCTTGATCCCCTCCTCCTCCACGCTTGCCCTGCTGCTGGCTGCTGGTGGCGTCGCTGCTGTCCAAGTCAAGGGTCAAAGGAGGGATGGCTCGTCTTCGCATCTGTGTTGCGCCCCCTGTGTCCGCACATGGGACTGCTGCTGTGGCGGGAACTGTTGCTGTGGTGGGTACTGCTGCTGCTGGTGGCACTGCTGCTGCTGCTGCTGGCACTGCTGCTACTGCTGGCAATGCTGCTGCTGGTGGCACTGCTGCTGCTGCTTGCACTGCTGCTACTGCTGGCAATGCTGCTGCTGGTGGCACTGCTGCTACTCCTGGCCCTGCTACTGCTGCTGGCACTGCTGCTGCTGACACTGCTACTGCTAGTGGCACTGCTGCTGCTGGTGGCACTGCTACTGCTGGTGGCACTGCTGCTGCTGGTGGCACTGCTGCAGCTGTTGAGATGGCTGTTGATGGGGCTGCCAATGAGTCTGCTGCTGCTGCTGATGCAGCTACTGCTGCCTTTTCAGGAGCAACAGCTGCAGCACCTCCTGCTGCTGCTGTCGAAGTCGGCAGTCCGCTTGTTGACGTCGCCATTATTGCAGTAGCTATCGTCGCGTCAGTGCGGATTGGAGCACCAGAGGAACCAGCATCAGCAGTTGTGTCGCATTCACTAGGTAGCGCTGCTTCTAACCTGCTGTTTCCGTCATCCACAGTCGCGGAGTTATCGTTCTCCAAAGGTGAACTGGCCGGTCCTGAGCTCTCAGCCAATAGAGTGCTTCCAGATTCCAGCATTACTGGCTCTCCTACTTTAGGCTCTAAACGAGATACTTCAGGCGCTGCTGGTCCTTCCCCCGCTTGCTCCCCTCGACCTGTGTCCACGCCTGGTGGGTTTTCACCGGACTCCTGAGTTGACTCAGGAGTCGATTCTGCTCTCCCAGCATCCTGTCGAGCAGACTCGGAGTTTGACTCTGCTGCTCCGCTCGCTTCTGCGATTGAAAGCTCCTCCGCTGAAGCAGCGTCAGCACTTGCAGTACCAGAATTAGCAGCAGCAGAAGGTGCGCTTGCTGTACCAAAATTTCCGGCATTACCGGCTTCAGCAGTGCTATCGACACCGCCAGAAACAGGAATCTCCTCGGGGCCAGTCGCCATTACTTCACGCGCGCGTTTCGCTTCCTACGACAACATCCAGTTCTCTTTGCAGTGCGACGTACAATGCAGCCGTCTGTGCTGAGCGCCTTGATTAGCGACGCTGTGCCAGACACAAACGTACATTCGTTCACGCTCAACGCAGTGTGGTCCAGAAATACCCCCTTTTTTCTCTCTCTCAATTCTAAATGGTCCAGAAGATTACCCGCATTGTGCTGTGCTTCAAGTCCTGAATGCTGGGCAACAGGTCGTATGGAAAGGCTGTGAATGATCAGGTGAAATGGCGACGATCCCAAGGTAGTTGGGAAGACGAGGTTCAGGCTTTCCGCGTTAAGATAGGAACTCGATTTCTGCAGTGGAACCAGTTTGCAGAAAAAATACATTTCCCGAACGAGTAGCCCTTTTTACAAAATGGTGTTTTGTAGATTCGTTACAAACAGTTCTCCCACTTTTTGCCTCGATCTTGCCTCCCTTGAGAATTGCCAGGAGCGGGAGGGAGATCTGTCAGACCAACATCGACGATCCTGGACCACCAGGACCTCGTACGCTCGAGTCTTACGCTCAAGTCTATAGTTGATCCTCGAATCCGCGATAGCACTGGCAGGCTCACGCAGCAGCGCGCGTCTTTGTTCTGACTGCTCTCGGGGCCGGCCATTCTGCGCATTAGCAATCGCATGAGTTATCACTGGCGTTTTCAAGTGCCGGCATAGCGTTGCACTGAAAATCTGCAACGTTGCACTTCTTACGGTTAACTGCGAGACGCATCGAGGTCGAAAATCCGTTTATCGAAGATATGATAAGAAATGCATGGCCAATGGAAGCGGCTGCAGTGAGGAGTCATCGGATTCTGTGATCACGAGTCCAGGAACCGTCTTAACCTTTTGAGAAGTCGTATCCTGCGAGGAGCTGTTGAATTCCGTGATTCGTAATCTAGAGCCAACTTAAGTCTTTTGAGACGTCTCAAAAGTTGTCTGCTGTGAGGAGCCATTGTATGACTTCGTGATCACGAGTCCGGGAGACGTCTGAAGTCAAGGAGGTGCCTTGACTGCAGCATCGCCTTAGTGTTTTACAGATCCCGCTCCTTACAAAAGATAGAGGAAAAGAAGGTTTCTGTTGGTCCTGCGGTGTTTCTGCTCGCCACGTTGCTTTGTTCGCTGTGACTGATCGCGCCACCGTCGCATGTGCGATGCTGTCCGACGAAAGTTCCATCGGCGAAGGCGTCGCACGGCTGAATCGATGGCACCTGGGTCCCGGCATATCAAGGTGCGGCCGCTCGTTACAGTCACACGACACCTATCACCTGTTTCACTAGAAACCCGGTTTTCCGTTTCTGCAACTTAGCAAACCTGCTCCGTTAGGCCATATTCAGCCTACCTCGCATTCGCGCCTCAGTTTCCCTTCTCGCTCAATATTTTTCCCGCAAATCTCCCGCACAGGGTACAGCAGCAGTCGCACGCGCCGTTGCACGCCTTCTACGTCGTCGGGCGGTCGCTGCGCGTGCTGTCGGTGTTCGCGGCGTACCGCTTCCTGGTGGAGTCGGACGTGTCCGTGCTGCTCTTCGCCTTCTTCTCGCTCCTCGGCGCCGCCATCCTCTTCTTTCTCCTCCAACGGCCCTGGAAAGGAAAACGCCTCACCAACACCCAGGTAGCCCCGCGTTCACACTCGGGTGATCACAGGTTCTGCCTTCCTGACACCCAGGTGACGCCGCGCGGATGCTAAGACAACGCCGCATCCCTGCCAGGTGATTCGTCCACCAATACTCTGGCAAATCGGCTGGGCAGCGCGTCTGCACGGGCTGTCTGCGTTCTGGGCGTGAATCTTCCCTGTGTAGTCGATACTGTGCTTCTCTTTCTGGGTCGACTCAAAAAGCGGGCGTGCACTGCGCTTCCACCTGCTCACACCCTTTCTGGTTTGATCCTGCTCCTGCCACTCTTCCTTCTCCTTTCTTTGTCATTTTCCTCGTCATTTCCTTTTCTTCCCTTTACCCACTCCCTCCCCTCCCTCTCTCCCGCCTCCCGCTCCTGTTTCCTCTCCGTCTACTCCCCCGATTGTATCACATGACCAGTGGGGCATCTCAGTGATGAATGGAGGCGTGCTGGCGCTCGCTGTTGTCACATGGGCGTATGGTCTGAAGCAGTGCGGCCCTCTAAGGTGAGTGCACTCTCCCTTAAATGTTTGTGAAACTGGTACCTGCACTCCTTCCCTAGTAACATGCCCGCTCCTCCTCCTCACGGCCTCCGTCCCTCTCCTTGAACGGTTGCTGATTCCCCACCCATCAGGTCTGTAATGGCGGAGTACTCAGGAGCGGTGGTTGCCACCATATCCACCATGATATTCGGCCGGCGAGGACACCGCGTACTCAAGGTGAGTGAGGTGGGTTGCATGACAAAGGGAGGTACCCAGACATACCTAGGCACACAATTTGGTTAAGTGACTACCAGCGGTGGTTGCCACCATATCCACCATGATATTCGGGCAGAGGGGCCACCGCGTGCTCAAGGTGAGCCCACCCACTCCGTGCTAAAGCCAGTCATTGACAATGCTGAGGGGCAGCTGTTACATTCGCCATTGCTCTGTGCATGGGTGATTTTTAGGTGATTAAAAGCTTCTACTTTTGTTCCAACCACTGTATTCTGCTTCCTGCTGTCAACCCCTCCTTCCCTTCTCCCTCGCCTCCCCCTTCCCCTCTGCAGCTGTACGGCGCCATTGCCATGCTGGCTGCCTTCTACCTCCTCGCCTCGGGAATCCCGCTGGGTCCCACTCTTCCGCCGGATTTCCCACCTCCTGCCAACCCCGTCCCCTTGGGCCTAGACAGCACCGCCGCCGCCACTGCCGCCGGCACAGGCGCCGACAGCACTGGCAGCAGCACAGGCAGCAGCAGCAAGGGAGGCGCAGCAGGGGCAGTGGGGGTTGGGGCGGCAGGAGGGGAGGGAGGTGCGGGGTTGTTGGCGTGGCAGGTTGCGCGGATGTCTGGGAGTGGGATGGTGGAAGCGGCAGGGGGCAATCCGTTGACGGCCATGCTGCTGCCTGTGGCCGCTGGAGTGCTCTTTGCGCTGAGACGATTGCTTGCCCGGCTGGGAAAGGTACAGACGGAGCACCAATGCCACATCGCGTGTCTTTGCTGCTGATGCATTGCATCGTGTTGCATTGCATTGGAGCACGGGTTTGAGTGGGAGCATGGGGGTGAGTGGGCGCACGGGGGTGAGTGGGAGCACGGGGGTGAGTGGGCGCACGGGGGTGAGTGCGGGGGTGAGTGGTTATTTTTTCACTAACCCACCATGCCCTCCTGCTCTCCCTGCCTGCTTACCCCCTTTCCCATACCCGTGTCTCTTTCTCTCCCTCTCCCATCCACCAGTCGCAGCAAAAGAAGCGGTTGCATGCCGTCACAGCAGTGTCCTCTGTATTCTTCCTCCTTCCTATCGCCATCTTCCAGCTCAGCGGGGTGAGTGCCACTGTCACTGTGCCACATGGCGAGGCAGGGTGCATGTGATTGTGGCACTCCGCATCTATTCTCTTCTCTTATTATCGCCAGTTGTCCGCTTGTCCATCCCCTCCTTCCCCTCTCAACCTTACCGCAAACCCAGGAGAAAGCAAAACGCCACTCGTCTCTCCTCGACTCCCCTCCCTCCCTTCTCTCTCCCGCCCCCCCCGTCCCCCTCGCCCCTACCACCTGCCACGGCTGCAGGCCATGGCCGTGCCGTGGTGGCATGTGACAAGACGATTCCCAGGCGCCTCACAAACCCTCCCATCCCCGTGCTCTTTCCCCTCCTGCCACACCCTTTCCCCCCGCCCCACACTTCTCCTCTCGCCCGCGCCACCCGGCAGGGAGCGCAAGCCTTGGACCTGGAGGCGGGGGGGCGCGGCCAACTTTCCAGGGGCTTCAAAACCTTCCCATCTCCTCTCACGCTTCCCCACTTCCTCCCTTCTCCTCTCGCCCGCGCCACCCGCCAGGGAGCGCAAGCCTTGGACCTGGAAGCGGGGGGGCGGCCGATGCAGGTGTATGCGCTGGTGATCCTGGCAGGGCTCGTGTTCTCCTTCTATGTGGACACTCTGGCGGAAGACAAGTGAGTGGGAGGGGAAGGGGGAGGGCGAGGGAGGGGGGGAAGAGGGGAGTGGGGGGGGAGGATGGGAGGGGATGGAGTGGGGGAATGGGGAGAAAGGGGTTCGAGGCTCCTGGAAAGTGATCCTGCTGGGGCTCGTGTTCCTTTCTATGTCAGCCGTGTTTCTCCCCTCTCTCCCTTCCTTTGACACTACCCCCATTCCCTCCCTCTTCCCCTCCCTTCCCCCCCTCTCCCTACCCCTTTTCCTCCCCCCATTTGATCCCCCCTTTCCCCCTTTTCCCTTCCCTTCCCCATCTCTTGCAGGCTGCGTATCGGCCCGTCGTCACTGAAGCATCTGCTGGTGACGAGTGTGGCGGTGGTGGCACTGCTACTCATCTATCGAATGCACTTCAGCCCGCTCTCCTTCGTCCTCATCGCCCTCCTCCTTGCTGCTGGTAAGCTTTTGAGTCGACCCAATAGTCACCTCTGCTGGTGACGAGTGTGGCGGTGGTTGCGCTGCTACTCGTGTACCGAATGCACTTCAGCCCCCTCTCCTTCGTCCTCATCGCCCTCCTCCTTGCCGCTGGTACGCCCCCCTGCTGCTCCTTCCTGCATAAACTGCCCAACATCCCTTCCCACCACCACAAATCCCACCGCACCTCACGCTCCCCCACCCAAGCCCCCGCCACACCCTTCGTCCCCCCCCACCTCAGTTATTCTCTCATTCCCTCCATGCGCACTCTCTCCGTCCCTCTGACTCTCTCTATTCCTGCCTCAAGGACTGCACTGGACTTCAGTCCTCCAGTGGTCCATGTCCAGGTCCCTGCAATACAATGCAGCAATCTCTAGGGCTAACCTTCCTTCACCCGTGCCTCACCCACCCCTGCTCTCCCTCTCTCCCGCCCACCAGGTCTGCACTGGTCTACGGCCATAGAGCGCAGCAAGTCAGCGGGGTCGCTGGCAGAGGATGGGGTGGCAGCCAAGGAGAGGCGCAGAACTGCCGCCCTCGCCATGCTGCAGGTGAGCACACACACATGTGTGCGTCGGGCAAGGAGTGAGTGAAGCAATTCTTCAAGCAAGTAGCACGTGCGCCCGCACTATCCATCATCCTGTTTCGCAGGCAAACAGGTTTGCTGGTGCAAGGTAAACTGGTGGACGGATGAATCAAAAGCATGACGGCTTGGGTTGAATCCCGATGAAACCCGGCTCTTGTTGCAGAGTGTGATCGCACGTGGCTTTCCTTTCTGAAGTGCTTCAGAGGGGCTTGCTGCTTGTAGCCACTCTGGATAGACATGGACACACCGCTCGTCGTATGTCTGGTTCTAAAGGAACCATGGTGTCAGATTTTTTTTTGTGAACGCCCTGGTGGTCCATTCAAAGGGGCCTCTTCCCATATGTTTTGTCTTTCCCCTCTCTATATCTCTTCCTAGCTCTTCGTAGTTGAACCCTTTCTTATTTTTTCACCGACTTAGGCAAAAACAACCTGGCTTGGATGAGTGACTGACGTGTGGTATCCTGCCCTCTCCTGCCATGGTGGGATGTGGTGTGCACACACCCGCAGGGAGCAATGGACCACGTCATGTCCGATTCCAAGTCACGCCGCATTGCGCGTACGTATGGGCTAGGGGCCGCATCATAGTGAACATGGCGATTTGTGTACGTATGGCCACGGGCTACATAGCAAGCAAGTGCAATCGTGCTGGCATGGGGATACGGTTCTGTCTATGCCCGTCTTGCTCAAAGTACAATGGGCATACCTACCTACGGGTTGGTAGCACCACGATGCCTTCTCCACAGCGCATTAGTGTGATTCTTCGTGTTTACACAATCGTCTTTGCGAATCAGACTGAGAGTGCATGCAGCGGTTCACTTTCAATTTTCTAGGGCCACTAAAAAATCGTAAAGATATGCGAATTAAACTGAGAGTGGTGTTTCCCCAATTCGTTCCATCAAATCTGTTCTTTCTTCTCCCACACATGGCCCTCCGTCAGTTCTTCCTCCTCTCTCACCCTTCTTTGTTTTTTTGTTTGTTTGTTTGTTTTTCGACCGTCGTCGTCACCCTTCTATTGACTCCATTTCTCCCTCCCCTGCCATCCCCTCCCATTCCATGTGCCCTGCCTCCTCACCCCCCTTGCCAGTCTTTCTCCTCATCAACGCAGCGTTTATGATCGTTGAGTTCTCGGTCGGTTTCCTTTCCAATAGGTATGCTTGGTCTGACCTAGCTCAGACTAAAATGCTTCTGGTTGAGGTGCTTACTGTTTGAATCAGCTCCAGCTAACCCTTTTACGCTGGCCTGATCACATGAAGCTTGTAGTGCCTACTTATGCAAGCATACATGGGCTACGTTACTTTATCCATGGCTCAACAGCAGTGCGCACTTGCCACTTCCCTTCCCACGACCACTTTTACCAATTCCCCTCCTTTCTCCTTCTCTCCATCTCCGTTCCACTCTGACATCGTCCCATTTGGCCACCAAGTCTCCTTCTTCCGACCTTCTCCCTCATACCACTTGTTCCCCCCTCCACCCACCACCACCAGTCTGGGGCTCATATCAGACGCGTGTCACATGCTCTTTGACTGTGCTGCGCTCGCCATCGGCCTCTATGCCTCCTACATCTCCCGCCTCGACTCCCCTTCTAAGTTTGCCTATGGGTCAGTGAAACCCTTGCTAGGGCAGTTGAACTATTTGGGAAAAGTGCGTTGTGTGTGCTGTCGTATGGTATGGCATGGCATGGCATGGCTCACTGATTTAGACCTCACTCTCACTGCGCTGCGCTCGCCATCGGCCTCTATGCCTCCTACATCTCCCGCCTCGACGCCCCCTCCAAATTCGCCTACGGGTTCGTGAATCTCTTTTCAGGAATTTGAGACGGGTCCGTGTTCACTTGTTAGGTTTCAGTTCAGGTGACCTGTTCAGGTGAAGTGCATTGCTTGATGGCATGGCAGGCACTCTTGCTGTGATCTCGAAATTGCTTCTTGGCATGGTCCGAGTCTTAATGGCTTTGTTCAGTGTCTGTGCTGCATGCTGCACTGCATGGGTGCGTGTCCCATCTTCTCTGTTAATCATGTCTTGTGTCATCCCATCCCATCGCTCCCACACTATCTGCTCGGCTTCTCGCCCGCAGCTACGGTCGCTTTGAGGTGTTATCGGGCTTTGTGAATGCGGTCTTCCTAGTGCTCATCGCTGCACTCATCGTCTTCGAGTCCATTGAAAGGTGTGCCTTCGATTATGCACGAGATTCTGTAGAAGAATTCTCAAAAATCCACTGCAATCAGGCTGAATGCAGCCTTCTTAGTGCTCTGCTCATCGCCGCACTCATTGTCTTTGAGTCCATTGAAAGGTGCGCCCTCTTTCTGTCCATGGCTTCGATTCTCCCAAAACTGATGCATGTTTCTTGCTAGCCGTGTGAAAACACAACTGTTTCCTGCTGAGCATTCAAACCAAACAGCTTTATTATTTCATAGCCTTCTTTAGAGCTCGCTCCTGGGCCTGCAGAGCTTCACTCCTCTCTACGTATCCTTCTAGATCCTGGCTTCTTCACCCTCCGGCCTTCCACTTGTTGTCCCTTCTCGCTCCCTCATTCTCACTCCAGAATCCTGGACCCACCGGACATATCAACGGCGAACCTGCTGGCGGTGTCTGTGGGGGGCCTGGTGGTGAACATGGTGGGACTCGTGTTCTTCCATGAGGCCCACCACCACGCACACGGTGGCAGCTGCTCGCACTCCCACTCGCATGACCACTCCCACTCCCACGACCACTCCCATTCTCATTCTCACCATGAACATGAACACGAGCATGAGCATGGGCATGACCCTAGTGGGGCATGTTCCCATGCGCATCATGATCATGGGCATGGGCACGACCATCGTCTGGCGCATCAACACCACCACGACCATGGGCATAAGCATGATGATGACCATGGGCATGGGCATGAGCATGGGCACGGGCATGATTGCAACAGCCATTGTGTGCAACAGCATGATGGTAATCATCACCATGACCATGACGACAACAACCATCCCCATCATCACCATCACCACCACCACCATAAATCGCATAGTCACCATGATGACAAGCATGCATGCGACCATGGGCATGGGCATGGGCATGGGCATGGGCATGGGAACGGGAACGGGCACGCACATGGGCATGAGGGGATTGCTGCAGCAGCAGCGGAGGACTGGGAGCAGGAGAATCGGGAAGATGCCAAGAGCAGCAGCACCTTCACCACCAGATCACTCTTACAGTCACCCATTTCAGTATCATCACCTTCGTTTGAATCACCAGCGCTACCATCGTCAGGGGCAGAGAAACTTTTGGCCGTGCACAAAGCGAGGAGGAGAATAGGGCAAGGGGGTGCCGCTGCAGGAGGAGATGAAAGTTTTCAGGCGTTGCCCGTGAGGCTGGATTTTGAGGAGTGGGCAGGAGAAAGCAAGTCCGATGGGGAAGGAAAGTCACACAAACAGGAGCATGGGCATGAGCATGGGAATGGGCACTCACATGAGCATGAGCATGCTTATGAGAGTGAAGTCATGCCTCATGATGCGTCATGCTCGTCTTTGAGCATGGATGTGGGAGAGGGGGTTGGGCATGGGCATGGGCATGGGCATGGGCATGGGCATGGGCACGGGGATGGGCATGGGCATGGGCATGGGGATGTGGGAGGTGGACATGGAGGAGGAGGAGAGGCGTGTGTGCAAGAGGTGCTCACATCCGGCAGTGCCCATGTGGACCATAACATGCATGGTAGGCTCTCCCTCTCCCTCTCCCTCTCCCTCTCCCTCTCCCTCTCCCTCTCCCTCTCCCTCTCCCTCTCCCTCTCCCTCTCCCCATCCCCTCTCCCTCTCCCCATCCCCTCTCCCTCTCCCTCTCCCCATCCCCTCTCCCTCTCCCCATCCCCTCTCCCTCTCCCTCTCCCCATCCCCTCTCCCTCTCCCCATCCCCTCTCCCTCTCCCTCTCCCCATCCCCTCTCCCTCTCCCCATCCCCTCTCCCTCTCCCTCTCCCCATCCCCTCTCCCTCTCCCTCTCCCCATCCCCTCTCCCTCTCCCCATCCCCTCTCCCTCTCCCCATCCCCTCTCTCTCTCCCCACATGCTGCTTCTCCGCTTCCTCTCCCTCGTTCCACATGCTGGGTCTTTTCCTCTCTCAACAATCGCACGCACCCGCCTCCTCTCACTGCCGCTGTCACTCCACACTCTGATCACTCCCAAATCCTTCCTACCCGTGGCCTCCTTTCAGGAATCTTCCTGCACGTGTTGGCAGACACACTGGGTAGTGTGGGGGTGGTGATATCGACCCTGCTCATCAAGTACAAAGGCTGGATGCTCACAGACCCGGTGAGGAGAGGTTGAATGGGAGAGGAGGTAAGGAGAATGGCAAGGGTACATGATTGTACGGTAGGGCAAGGGTATGGCAGGCAGTGTGTGGCATGTGAGTGTGGGGATGGGGGTATCGACGCTCCTCATCAAGTACAAGGGATGGATGCTCACAGACCCGGTGAGGAGTGACCTGGTGCAACGTGTTATGTGCAGTAAATGTTTTGAGATGTCTCAAAACACTTCTTTTGAGAAGTCTCAAAACACTTGTTCAATCCGGTGAGGAGTGACCTGGTGCAACGTGTTATGTGCAGTAAGGCTCACGTGCTTGCTTGCAGACTTGCCGGGTCTTTGTTCCATGTTCGTGCCTTGCTCCCTCTTTTCCCATCGTCCCATTACCTCCACAACCATCAGGCGTGTTCCAAACCTTCATATCAGTGCTTATCATCAGCACCGTTATCCCTCTGCTGCTCCTTCCTCTCCTTTCCCCTTCCCTCCCCTCTCTTCCCCACCAGCACCAGGCGTGCTCCATATTCATATCAGCGCTCATCATCAGCTCTGTCGTCCCTCTGCTGCAACGTTGCCCCTCCACTCCCCCTTATCTCCCCCTTCTCTCCACCCCACCACCACCAGGCGTGCTCCATATTCATATCAGCGCTCATCATCAGCACTGTCGTCCCTCTGCTGCAACGTTGCCCCTCCACTCCCCCTTATCTCCCCCTTCTCTCCACCCCACCACCACCAGGCGTGCTCCATATTCATATCAGCGCTCATCATCAGCACTGTCATCCCTCTGCTGCAAAACTCCGCTGAAATCATTCTGCAAAGAGTTCCCCGGGCAGCTGAGCACCAGATTTCAGCTGCCCTGAAGAAGGTGAGCTGGTGGGTGGGACTAGATAGTTTTGACTGTTCAGTGAGATTCAGGATCTCAAAACTAGGTACTGTCACCCCGTTTCTGCTCCATGCCCCATTCCATGCACCACGCCTGTCACTTATTGATCAAAATCATTCACTTGTGTTCCCATGCCTGGCCCATCATCCCGTTGCCCATGACAGATTGAGTCGATGGCAGGGGTGGTGGCGGTGCGGCAACGGCACTTCTGGTCCTTCACTCCCAAGATGCTAGTGGGCTCAATCCACGTGCTCATCTCTCCAGATAGCCTCAAAGATAGGGCCAAAGACGGAGGTGCAGCGGCGCATAACGGAGATGCTTATAGCGAGTCCGGGGGCAAGCAGCAGCGGGTGGAGGCGGTTCAGCAGCTGCGGCAATCGTTGAGGCGGCGGGTTTCGGATGCATTCCGGGCGGTTGGCATCACACACGTAACGGTGGAGGTGGGTACTGAAAGAGCATTCACGTGTGGCATGTGCATGTTTGAAAGGTCACAGCTGAGTTGACACAAAAGGTCAACATTCACATATGGCCATTCACCTGTGGCAAGGGCATGCACCTGTTGCATGGGCATGTATGCTAACTTGCGTGCAGCCTCTCATGGTATGCAACACAGGGCACAGGCATGGGGCATGCCCTCATCCTTCACGCTCTGAGTTCCAGTCTGTCCTGTCCAACTCCCAAGCACGGCATACCTTCCCCACTCAGCTAGTTTTGAGGCACCTCCAAGCTAGACTCCTTCACAGCTCTGAGTTCCAGTCTTTCCTGTCCAACTCCCTAGCACAGCATGCCTTCCCGATTGAGCCCCTCACCCCACGCTTCATCATTCAATCACTTTCCAATTCCCTGCTCTCGTGCCTGAGCTCACCTCCTTGCCCCCTGCCTGTACGTTTTCTTTTGCATGTTGCAGATTGAGGAAGCATCAAGCCATCACCTTCATCACAAGCACCTGCACAATCGCCACCACTATCATCAGTCCCATGCATCGCCATTCCACACCCCCTCCCACGCATTCTCCCCTTACTCTGCACAATAGCACCCATCCAGCAACTCGCAGTAGTAACTGCTATGCAGATCCAACATATCCAGCAACGTGTAAGAATAGCACGCTTCAGAGCCCTCCCGCTGAGCCCCCGGGTGCTGCTGTGATGCTATCTGCTTGTCTTTGCATTAGTTCCACCATTTTACATTGCAGCTACCCCAACTCTTTTCTGCATGCTGCAGTCTGGCTGGACTCTTGTTGACCACAAGTCGTCCTTCCTAACCCGGACTAGTTATTGTGTATTTCATGTGGTCACAAGTCGTCCTAACATGGACTGGGAAATGTGTACCTGACTGCACTAAGCTTGGCTGGCAGCTGCCTAGCTGCCAACATGATTCTCACTGTACTACGAAAATTACACTAGAATCCAGGGCCTCAAATTCGTTTTAGCCTAGGCTGAAATGTCAGCCTTACCAGGCTAAGCAAGGCTGATCAATCAGAGTTGTCTGCGCTTGTCTAGTCCTATTACCAAGCTAGCAAGGGCGTGGGATGGTTGCGAGCATCATCGGTCATCGGCGCTCGCGAATGAAAAGCGTCCGCTGCACTTCTTGCACATGTGCGGATCCTTCCGTGTTTTGAGGGTGGAAGCGCTCGTTTCGAGCGTTTTTCTTCCGCCGGGTCACGTGGCTGCGCTTGTCTGGGCCTTTTACAAGGCCAGGAAGTGCGTGGGAGGGTTGCGAGCATCATCGGTCTTCGGCGCTCGCGAATGAAGAGTGCCGGCTGCACTTCCTGCACATGTGCAGATCCTTCCGCGTTTTGGGGGTGGAAACGCTCGTTCCGAGCGTTTTTCTTCCGCTGGTTCACGTGGCTGCGCTTGTCTGGGCTTATTACCAAGCCAGCAAGGGCGTGGGAGGGTTGCGAGCATCATCGTTCATCGGCGCTCGCGAATAAAGAGCGCCCGCAACACTTCCTGCAGATGTGCGGATCCTTCAGCGTTTTGGGAGTGGAAGCGCCTGTTCCGAGCATTTTTCTTTCGCCGGGTCACGTCGCTGCGCTTGTCTGGGCCTGTTATCAAGCCAGCAAGGGCGTGGGAGGGTTGCGAGCATCATCAGTCATCGGCTCGCGAACGAAGAGCGCCCGCTGCACTTCCTGCACATGTGCGGATCCTTCCGAGTTTTGGGGGTGGAAGCGCTCGTTCCGATCGTTTTTCTTCCGCCGGGTCAGGAGGCTGCGCTTGTCTGTGCCTATTTTCAAGCCAACGAGGGCATGGGAGGGTTGCGAGCATCATCAGTCATCGGCGCTCGCGAATGAAGAGCGCCAGCTGCACTTCGTATGTTAGAACTACTAGCTAGGTGAGGAATGTCGATTAGGTAAGGGAGAGGGATACAAGAATGTCGAGAGTGAGATGTTGTACCCTCTAAAGAAAGAACCCTACACAACCTAGAGTAACATGAACAAACAATATGTTTTGACACACCCCCATAGGTGAAGAAGGGGATAGCCAAACCGAACAGTGGTCACAAGACCAGTGAAGCAAGAGAACAAGCAAGGCAAAGCCCAGGGTGGATCTCAAGGACACCACACAATCTGAGCACAAGCAGGCGGCCACAAGGCCAGTTCACATGCAGATTCATAAATAGCAAGGCAGTACACTGATCACAACCTAGCAGGAGTAAACATGCATGTATAAATATATATAGCAATGTACAACAAGAGCAAGTCAAGCAACCAGCAGGTGAGGCAGAGTGGGCACAAGCCCAAGAGCAGTGCAGAAACGTTGATGATCACCAGACCCAAGGGCCTTGGTGAAGACATCAGCAGTATTGGCCCGAGAGGCCACGTAAGCAAGGCGCAGCTGACCACGCTGCTGCAGCTCACGCGCAAGAAAGTAGCGAAGAGCAATGTGCTTCGTTCTGTGCTCCAGTCTCTGCTCACGACACAAGGCAAGCATTGCCTTGTTGTCGACGTACAGAACTGGAGGAGAACGAGGCCGCTCCCCCAAGTCGGTCAGCAGGTAGGTCAGCTAGCGTAGCTCCTGTGCAGCCATGGCCCCAGCCTAGATCTCGGCCTCGCAGCTGGAGCCAAGCACAGACGAAGAACGAGTGGACCTCCACGAGACAGAACCAGAGCCAAGACTGAAGGTGTAACCCTGTGACGAACGCTGAGTCGCCTGGTCGTCGGCCCAAGAAGCGTCAGAGTGTCCGGTGAGTACCACTGAACTCCGTCCTCCAAGCACGAGCCCCATGCCCGATGTACTGCTCAAGTAACGCAGTACCCTCTTCGCAGCATCCCAGTGCACCTTTCGTTGTCGACCAGGAGCCACGTAGCGAGCCAGAAGGCTGAGAGGGTACGCGAGGTCAGGTAGTGTGCACGTCATCAGGTACATGAGGCAACCCACAAGCTCTGGGTACGGACCACTCGACTCTACGGACTCGTCCGAAGGTGGAGCTGAGAGCGAGTGGCTGGTAGACAGAGGAGTGGGCTGTGGTGAGGAGAACTGGAAGCCGAAGCGCTGAAGGAACTGGTGCACCATGTGTGACTGAGTCAGGGTGATGGTGCGCCGTGCTTTGTCCCGGGTAATCTACAAGCCAAGATAGCTGCGCAGTTCACCCAGGTCAGTGCAAGTGTGTCCTGCAGCTCCGCCTTCACTAGGGCCAGTGCCTCAGTGTCAGCAGTAGCAAAAACCAAGTCGTCGACGTACACGAGGATGTAGAACGGCGGCAGAGTAGTGTCGGTGCGTAGAAACAGCGACGGGTCAGCAGTCGAAGGAGCAAACCCAAGAGCCGCAAGTGTCGTCCTCAGTGTGTCGTGCCACTCGCGGGGCGCCTGATGCAGGCCGTACACTGATCGCCGTACGCTCCACTGGGTACCAGGAGGAAACGACCCAGTAAAGCCCTGTGGACGGCGCAACCAGATGGCCTCGTGAAGGCTACCCTGCAAGAAAGTTGTCGAGAAGTCGAGGGAGTGCAGCTCGTAGTCACGCTGAGCTGCAACGTGTAGCAACACCCGAAGAGTGGTCATCTTTGGGGTGGGGGAGAAGGTCTAAAAGAAGTCGACCCCCTCACGCTCACTGAAGCCTCGAGCAACGTAACGTGCCTTGAAGGCAGGCGGAGAACCCGGCGGCCGCTTCACCCTGAAAATCCACATGCCACTGACGATGTTCGCCCCAGGTGGGGGAGCCTCGTCGACATAGGTGCCTGTGGACTTCCAGGAAGCCATCTCTGCGTCCATAGCTGTCTGCCACTGAGAGGAGTACTCACCCGAAATCGCCTCCCTGTAGGAGCGTGGGGAGGGGATGTCAAGTGCATCCAGGTCTCCCTCAGGGGCATGCAGCATGGTCGCGTGATGGGGTGAAGCGGCCGCAAGGCACTCGAGCTTCTCTTGTCTGTCCTCAAGAACGTCACAGCCAAGGGCAGTACAGCCAAGGGCAGTCTCACCCCCGACGGACGGAGGACATGCAGGGACAGGGTCAGAGACAAGACTCGCAAGGTAGTCGAGGCGGTACACAGCAGCAAAGTCAACGAGCTCAGCCACTAGGGCAGACGCAGCCGGAGAAGAGAACGTAGGGCCCGTCACAACTGTAGCAAGAAGGCGAGTAACAGTCGGACTGGATGCACGAGCAAGGTCAGACGGAGGGTCGGCAACGCCAGGCAGAGAGGACGCAGGAGGCAACGGTAGGACAACACGCTGAGGAACAGAGGAAGGACGGAGCGTCATATCGCGAGTGCCGGGGACAGCCGGAGCACGGGGATGACGAACACGAGGAACACGAGCACGGACAGCAGCTCTAGGCTCAGGCTCAAGGTCAAAGCTAGACTCAGGCTCTCGACGCTCAGGGGTGGAAGCACGAGTCTCAGGCTCTCGACGATCAGTCAGTGACTCTGACACCGCAGTGTAAGGGGCAGGAGCAGGCAGTGGGGAGTGCGGTAGCAGTGGCGGCAGTGACTGGTCCGCCGGTGGACACAGCAACGGAAGAGTAGTACCTGCCACAGGGAAGCCAGTAGCACCTGGCTGAAGACTGAGGAGGTGGCGAAGAGCACCAGTAGCTCCACCAGGACCTCCAGTACCTCTAGCACCTCCAGCCCCAGCAGCTACACGTCCTCTACCAGAACCTCCAGTGCCTCCAGCACCTCCAGCTCCAGCAGTAGCAGCTCCTCCAGTACCCCCAGTACCAGCAGCTCTCCGACCCCCAGCACCAGCAGCACCTCCAGGACCTCCAGCACCAGCAGCTCCAGTACCTCTAGCACCTCCAGCACCAGCAGCACCAGCAGCTCCAGTACCCCTAGAAACTCTAGCACCTCCAGCGCCAGCATCTCCAGGTCCTCCGGTAGGAGCTCCGACGACACCAACACCAGAAGGACTCGCAGCACCCCCAGAGTCAGAACTCTTGGTCTCAGTACCCTCAGTCCCAGCACCCCTAGGCTCAGTACCCTCAGTATCAGCACCCCCAGGCTCAGTACCCTCAGTCCCAGCACCCCCAGGCTCAGTACCCTCAGTCCCAGCACCCCCAGGCTCAGTACCCTC